TTTTCTGTCTTCCTCTTTTTTTTTTTTTTTTTATCAAGTTTGTCTTTGATTACGTTCTTTGCTTGATTGATTGACTTTTTTTTGTACCGTTTTTTTTGTTTGTTTGTTTGTTTGTTTTAAACTACACATGCTTCTACATCCGACTGCCTCAGAGTTCACGGCAGCTCTGTATCCCATTCAGTGTGGAGGAGATGTTTGATGTTACTTTTGTTAATGAAATCAAGAAAAACCTTAGTTTCTGTCCAAACACTAACTCACTGTCCTCTGTGGCCATGTTTATGTATAAACAGAACATAGTTGGACACTTAAGACACACATACAAATGTATAGATTTCAGTTTATTATAAAACAGCATGTCAAACCATGTGGCATTTATTTTAAAGAAAGATACTATAAGTACACATTTCAAGCAAAACATTTCCCAAAAAATAGATAGATAAAAAATAATAGATATACGGGTCATAATTAGACAAAAACGTATTTGGACACTCAGTAGTGACTTTATTAAAGATCACACTTACACACTTAGTGTTAGTATTTAGCTTGCCATCTTTTGTTTCACAGAACCCCTTGATGATTTCCGGGTATTGAATCGACCAGTTTCTGTAACAGTTGTGGTAGAAATTTCCTCTAGGTTTCAAATAATAAACCTTTAAGTTCATCCACACTAGAGAAAATTTCATTTCATCCCACCAAGGCGTAGAGGTCTCTTTGTGTGTGAGGAGGTTTTATTGCCAGTTTATTTGGTCTACCTACTGCATAGGTCACTCTGTAGGTCTGCAGCTGCACATGTATTGGCCCCCCTCTGTCAGTGGAAAGAGATTGCTTTAGGACCAACATTAAATGGTAGATTTATACCACGTTTGACTATAGCTCCTAATTCAAATCTGAAATTTCTACATAAATGTCAGCATGGTCTCCTCAACCCCGAGTTCAGCAAGTGACACCAAATCAAAATGGCTGCTCACAGCACGAACAGGAAACACAGTAGCACTTTTTTTTAAAACCTTTAAATGAGTTATACTATATATACAAGTATTTGCTTTAGGTCAATCAACATACAGACATGTTCCCTTGTTAAATCTATAACACTGACTATACAGTTGGCTTTTTTGAGGAGGTAAATATACATCATATACGTATATATACACGTATACGTATATACTTATATGAAATAATACGTATACGTAATTCCGAGGTTCCATTTCCGAGTTAATTTGGGGCAGGGGGCTCGGTGGTTTAGTGGTTAGCATGTCTGCCTCGCACCTCTGGACTTGGGGGTTTGAATCCCACCTCCGCCCTGTGTGCATGGGGCTTGCATGTTCTCCCCTTGCTTCAGGGGTTTCATTTGGGTACTTCGGTTTTCTCCTCCAGTCCAAAGACATGTGTTGTAGGCTGATCGGCATTTCCAGATTGTCTGTAGAGTGTGTTTGTGTGTGATTGTGCCCTGCGGTGGATGGAGTTAAGTTGGACGCAGCTTTATCCTCAGCACAGTACTGACACTATGTAGACCTAATAAAAATCTGTATTTAGTGCATGAGGTAAAATGTCGGCTATTATATTTTGAATTGGATATTATATGGAGTACATTCCAGTGTTTTTGTGCCCACTGTAACTTTGTAAAAATTTGAATTAACTGGGTATATCGCTATGTGGAAGTATTAATATTACGTGTGACTGTAGCTGTAACAGAATTCCCTCCTGGTTTGTGTTAAAGAGGACAGCCGTAATGACTATGTCTAACCGCATTACACCCTGAAATAGCTCAGGTTAGCTGATGAAGAGTTAAAACCCGGGCTTATGGGTTGGTGTTACTCACATGCACTTGGCCTTGTTTTGTTCTTATATGAGTCAGGGGGATGAGAGAGAGCTGTGGTGTGCACACTGAACACTGAGTGCTTGGAATATGTTTAGATTTTCCTCTGCTTCCTCATCTCACTCTGCCTCTACTGAGTCAGAATCATTTTACGATTATGATAAACAGGGCTCAGGATTATGCAAGCCTGGTCATTTAGTCTCTACACGCTTGTGTTATGAGTGGGTTCTAACTGTTTGAATGTTTTTCTCCTCATGAGCGCTGTTTCTGTGGTGACCGTGTCCTCTGGTTTTGCTGTCTAGGTTCCAGTGCGTCCTCTCCTGGGTGGGTGCCAGGCTGTGAGTCAGCATGGCACGGCTCATCCTCCATCAGCAGCAGTAACCGCGCCAGGCGCCACAGCGCCGCCTCCGACAGCGCCGACACAGGCATAGGAACGTCCTGCTCGGACAGCGTGGAAGGTAAGGGACCTCCTAAAGGTCATGCACTTGACCTTTTCACATGGACCAACCTGCTGATGTGCTTACGTTCAGAACTACTGAGTTCTCATCTGTTAGTGCGTTTTGCTGAGTTTGAATCAAAGAACATTAGCTGAGAGCTGGGAAGGGATGGGACATAAAACATAAGCATAAAATTCATTGGTCAGAGATACAGCGATGCAAAAACATAAAGAAACCTTTGGAAAGTTTATGTTACAAATATTAAATCATTAAATATTAAATATTATGCCTAGCTTGTTTAAATATTTAGTGTACTGTATCCAGCATTTCTTTTCCTTTTTTTTCCCTCTAAAACACTTTGCATTTTTGCGTGTCAGTTTAGCAGCTTGCATTAAAGAAAAATGTCGCAACCCAAAGCACACATTGTGTCTGGGTCGATTCGGAGAAGAACAAGTTTTTTTTTTTTTTCTCAACTGCACTGAGTCTGTGAGTCTGTTTGGAAACGGACAGATGATCTCAGGACAGATGATCTCAGGCCAGTTATTTTAGTCCGCACCCGAGTGTGAAACGTGTTCTCACCTGCGTAAACGAAGGAGGAAAAACACACACCAGGGTTCATTTCAAAAAGACCAAATGCTGCATATGTGAAAGCACCGAAAGCTGAGGTCAGTGCTGCGATTAATTGATTATTACAAGTGATGCTCATTTGCTACGATCATAAGACAAATTCTTAAACTCTATATCAGCTGAACTAAAGGGATGGTTGTGAGACAGCATCTCTGAGCATCAGCAGCAGTGACTAGAGCAGCTTGGTGTGTGTTGCTGTTGTCGTCTTTTCTATTTGTTTGACCTGAACTGTGTCAATAGCAGAATCCAAGCATAAGATCGTCCCAAATATCCTTTATGATCATTACAGCTATGTAGGCCAGTCCGTATTTTCGGTAAGCATTAATAGGCTTATATATATTCGTATATATTTTTCCAATACAGCACCACTGAGCCCTCTAATCCTATTAGTAAGAACAGTATTACTGTCAGCGCACACACACACACACACACACACCCCTCACCCATCTCACACACTGCAGACTGGACCATAGTAGTGCTGAACTATATGGACAAAAAATGTGATATGCAACGAGGTGATGACAATATGAGACGTGATAAATTAAGACAAAAATATATTTTTAAACGAATAAATACATAAATATGTTTTACTGCCGTTAATGTAAACAATCAGCAAAGACCTGCGATCATCATTAATACGTCTTCAGACAGCAGTATTTTTTATATTTTGGCAAATCCCAGCTAACCCTAACCCTACAGAAAAATGGAGCCTGAAGTATTGCCCTAAAAGTACATCTCAATACTTAGTTATGTTTTGCTTTTTCCGACCCATAGCACAAAACCTGAAGTTTTCACTGTAATGATGAACGTATGATTAATTGTTCAGCCAGAAACCAGTGCTCATATGCAGTATGAGTTGATTTGAGGGTGGTTTTCCTTTAGAACAACATCATTCACAAAGGAAAGTCATAGTGCAAGGCACTTTTGCCAAGTATTTTAGGGTTGCTGGAAGGAATTACCTTAAATAGGCCAAATCATGATTCATATATCTGAAATGCATAAAGTCATGGCCTGAAAGCACAGCATGATCTCAAAGCGTTACACAAATGTTAGTCATAACATTTACTTCCAGTCGCTGTTTTTAACCAACTGCAACAATAATTTTGGGATGGACTTTAGGGATTATTCTGTCACAGTTGTGGTCTTTTTGTACATGGAGCGTTTAGAGGGTAGAACTGTGATGTGGTCTTCATTTGTGTCCACTTTGAAATCTGGAGAGGTCAGAGGCTAGACAAACAACAAAGCGGATGTTTTTCCTAGCCAAATTAATATAAATAGGTCTAACTGAAAAGCATGACTGGTAATGACCTTAAGCATGTGGACAAATTACACTTAGTGCATGGGAAAAAGAGCCATCCTAAATGTTAGCGCGTGTGAGATTAATAAGCAGATCGGGTCAGCGGTAGCAGTGTTACAGTCACCGTACTGGTCTGTGGTGGTGAAGCAGGAGCTCAGGTTTCATACGAAGCTCCCTGTTTACTGGTCAGTCTATTGGTCTCTTTCCTCGAATGTGATCACGAGCCGTGAGTAGTGACCAAAAGAATAAGGGCCTGAGTACAGGTGGTGGAAAATTAGGTTCCTCTGCAGGGTTGCTCGACCTAATTCTTTGTGAAAGTGTGAGGAGCTTGGGAACACCTCAGAGTCAAGCCACTGCTCCTCTGAATCGAGAGGCACCATGTGAGTTGGTTCGGGCATCTTACAAGGATGCTCTCTGGTTGGCTCCATTTAGAGCTGTACCAGGCATGTCCTACTGAATGGAGACCCTGGAGTACACCCAGGACCTGCTGGAAAAGCTGTATCTCACGGTTGGCTTGGGATCGTCCAAGGATCTCCCAGGAGGAGCTGGTATCTGTGGCTCAGGGGTGGAGAAGTTTAGACTGACTTTCTTAGCCTGTTGCTATCATGACCCCACCAGAAAAATAATTGAATGAATAACTAGTCCAGTCCTGCCTAGTTAAAAATTTACCACCTTTGAAAGTCTGTGTTGCTACATTAAACAGCCCAGATTGCTGATTGTTCTTGTTTGCCAGATGAAGAGTGAGCATCAGGGTGGGGACCCAAGAGAGGGCTGGTTACTATAGGAACTCTTCTTGAGTTCATCACAACATGAGCAGTTGTCAGGTTTTAATTAGTGCTGTATGCGTTGAGGGATTTGAACCGTGCATCCCACAAAACATTGTGTCCCCACCAGTATGAGCTTTGTCATGGCCTGGATCTCTTGTCCTCACCCAGCCCACTCCCTCAGCTGCTAACATATGCAGAGAGCCAGCGGCACATTCACATTGATCTTGGCACGTGGACTCGGGCTTTACCATCAGAAATCAATGAATCAGTCACTGAAACGGCAAAGAGCCAGGAATAAAGTCACGTGCAGCATCTTGGGCTGTGGCCTAGATTTCAGTGGTTGTGCTTTTGCTAAAACATGTGACCGCAGAGGATCCAGAATCGCTTGTATCCTGTAAGCGAGTGTTTCAGCCCTACATGATCTATGATCAAGGTTTAAAACAGACAGCTGGCTCAAGAGGTATAGCAGATCTGCTGTGAAAATGTCTGTAAATGCTGCGTAGGAAGCTGAGTCGTGATAGCACCAGAAAACCTCTACGAGCAAAGAAACAGGGGTTGTCATTAGTCATCTCTAGTTACAGACATCTCTGAGGCAGAGGAGATTTAGGAAAGAGCACTGAAGTAGGTCAGATTATTTTCTCAAAGGCTGGGTTCACATTATAAAAATCTGCTCTTTTTTACTCAGATTTAAGGCACCTACATATGTGATACATGCAACCATAAGGATTTAAATTCATTAAACACTTTACTGTGGATGAGGATATCACTGCTGGGTCATCTTCCTTGCCCACATGTTTCTTGGCAAATGAGAGCCAGTAATGGCATCAAAACAGCTAAAGATATACGTCAGGACTATTTTCACCTTCTGATCCTAATCATGAATCACCTCCAGAGCAGTAGTCTTTGCGATGAAAATCTGTGTCGTTAGTTTTCTCTTTTTATCGCTGCTGACATGAAGGATTGTCTCGCACATATGACTTTTTTTGTTGTTCTTTATGACTCATGCGACGATACTTAAATTTAATGAAACAGATCTTTGGAAAGAAAGATACCTCCTGTTTTAAATTCATAAACAATGTTCAGGCAGTAGTTTCTTGCAAAGCATAGTCTGGTGTGTCTGGTGTTCTTTAATAAGAAACCTCTTTCTTTAATTCTAAAGAATAGCATTTCTGAGGCTCTTTCATCCAAAATCTTTCCTTCAGAAGGAATTCTGCATGCAGTGGCTGTAATCCACACGAAAAGCATGATATTTTGGGAGCTGCCACATAATCACTACCCTCAGGTTTACTACCCTTAGGATTGGTCCCTATCAAACTCTTGCATAGTCTTTCGTTAGCAGCCTTTGAGAATGTATGCA